TAGACACACATTTGAGGAGTCCCAGGCTGAGGCAGTTGTGTATGCGTATGTGCTGGCGGCAGCTCCCTTACAAGCCCTCTCCTAGGCCACTGTTTCCAGCTGTATGGCCAGATGGAGAGTAGGCAGATGGAGAGTCAGCCATGGGTCCCAGGGCTGCTTCAGATGTTCAAGCAGGACAGTCTGGCTTGGATAAGGCAAGGCTCTCAACCTCTGGCTCAGTCCCACTTCTGGAGCCCTTTTCTCATCAGGCTCTGCCCTGTACCCACAGAGCTCTGCTGAGGCATCTTGGGGGGCTTTTCCTGCCCCCAGAGGCTGAATTGCCCTTGGACAGCTCTGAGGGAATCCTTGCAAGGACTGTGGTCCATGCGGTAAGTGTTCTCTGTGGCTATATGTAGGCCAGGCCGGAGGTCCAGGGGCCTGTGCCTGCTCTAGACTTGATGCCCCCTACTTCTCCATTCCAGGTCATGGAGCAGTTGCTGGTTAGTGAGCAGCCCCTATTAATCTTCCTGGAAGAGCCTCCTGGGGCCCCACGAGCCAGGCTCTCAGCCCAAGGTCAGGCCTGGCTAGGACTGGTGGTGCATGCAATCCAGTCAGGCATTGTCCCAGATGTCACATTGGTACCAGTGGCCATCACCTATGACCTGGTTCCAGACGCACCATATGACAGGCATCATGTGAGACCCTCCTGCCCCTGGGGACCTCAAGTAGATACCAGTTCCAGACAGGAAGTAGAGGCATACTATAGAATCCTGTGATTGAGTCCCCCTTAGGACTGAGTGGGGAGGAGTAGGGATTGGGAGGAATGTGTGTGTAAAGCAATTTTCCCTAGTCAGTTCTCCTTAGCGCGCCCCCCCCCCCCATGGCCTTTGCCATCATTTCATCCCTGCTAAAGAGGTATTTCTCTTGATCTATGGATGAGAAAATAAGGGCTGGAGAGGGCATGAAGTCAAGCCTTAGATAAAAGTTGAAACGGTGAGAGGAGCAGTGGTGCTGCATGAAGTATGGGATGACAGCTTCCAAGGCTTGCCCAAGAGTAGCATCCCTAGCACACTCAGCCTCTCCCTACAGGCTTCCACCTCCCTAGGGCTGTGGACAGGAGCTCTGGCTGTCCTTCGGAAACTGCGCAGCTGCTGGGGCTGCAACCATAAGGTCTGTGTCCGGGTGCATCTTGCCCAGCCATTCTCTCTGCAGGTATGGAGCCACCTGGGTAAGGTTGGGAGAGCCTGGGGATTTGAAGCGGGGATTATGGCAGCCTGGTCCTCAGGCCATTGTAGGGATAGTCTTGCTTTGCTGAGATAGGCTGTATGTTGGGGGTGGGCAAAGCAGGCCACCACAAAACTCTTTGTTCTGGGCAGGAATACATCATCAATGCCAGAAGTTGCTGGGTTGGCAGGCAGACCCTGGAGCACTTGCTACAGCCCATCGTGTTGGGCCAATGGTAGGGGCAGGGGCGTGAGGGTCTTGGGCAGGTGGGCAGCCCTTCAGCTGTGTAGTGTTCTCCTGGCCTCCGCACGTGAACAATCTTGGGTCATTTAAAGTGGCAGGAATACCTGCTTGCCTGTAGTCTGCATGTGAGATAAGGGCACAATCCCAGGAAAGAGGGCATGAGAGGTCCCCTGGCCTGGGGCTGGGGAAACAGCTGTACCTTGGTGTAGGTTTTAGACTTTCCCATGACTACTTTTAGGTTTTGTCCTTTCATGATTTGATCTGTGTCTACTCCAGTACTGTTGTCCCAGACACTGAGAAAGAGCAAGAATGGACTCCAACAACTGGGCTTCTTTTGGCCCTCAAAGAAGAGGACCAGCTCTTGGTGAGGAGACTGAGTCGCCACGTACTGAATGGTAAGGGGGAACAAGATTTGCCTCTTTGGGACAGATCTAGAGCTGTCCCTTCTCTCTGGGTTGGCTAGTAGTCAAGGCTTCTTGAGTGTGCACACCTTATTCCTGCTTCCTTGTTGGCACACTGGCAACACACGAATAGTGGAACCCTCTCCCCCTGCCATCTGAGTGGAGCAGCTTAGTGAGCCTAGGATGAATGGTACAGAGGGCACAGGCCCAGTGGTAGCCACTCACCCCAGGTTCTACTCAGCTCTACCTTGGGCTGTCCTTAGCTGTAAATGGGAGTAAGTGCTGACTGGAAAAAATGCATGTAAGAAGCTTGACATGAGCACCGAGCAGGCTCCCATCCAGCTTATTAATGTGCCCTGTGAGGCAGATTATTTGGTTGGGCCAGAAGGGCTGTGGCACTCAGCATATGTGGTAAATGCTGAGGGGTAGAGTTGGGGCTAGGAACACTTAACAGATAAAAAGGAGGGATCAGACCTCTGGGCCCCAACTCCTAACAGCATCCTTCCCCCAGCCAGCGTGGCAAGCTCTGCCGTGATGAGTACAGCCATTATGGCAACACTGCTACTCTTCAAGCACTCAAAGGTAGGGCTCAATGTGGTGGGGCTGTAGTGTGCGTGTGCGTGTGCGTGTGCATGCGTGTGAGTGTCCGTGTCCTCATGCACAGGCTTGTTTTACCTCCAGGGTGTGCTCCTGTCACAGCTTCTAGGGGAATTCTCCTGGCTGACTGAAGAGACACTTCTACGTGGCTTTGATGTCGGCTTCTCTGGGCAGCTGCGGTGCCTGGCACAGCACACATTGGGCCTACTGAGGGAGCATGTGGTTCTGCTGCATGTCCATCAGGGGGACTTGGTAGTTGTGCCACGGCCAGGCCCAGGCCTCACACACTTGGCACGCCTGAGTGCCGAGCTGCTCCCTGCCTTCCTGAGCGAGGCTGTGGGTGGTGAGACCCAAGGGTTTAGGGTTATGGGATGTGTGTGCAGGAGAGAGGTGAATGCCCTCTTCCTCATGCCCTACCCCTCCCCTACTAGCCTGTGCAGTGTGGGGGCTGCTGGCAGGCAGAGTGCCACCTGAGGGTCCCTGGGAGCTGCAGGGAATAGAGCTGCTGAGCCAGAACGAACTGTACCACCAGATCCTGCTCCTGCTGCATCTGCTGCCACAGGACCTGCTGCTGCTGCAGGTCAGGCCTCTCCTCGCCCTCTAACCTGTGGTGCTGGGCCTGGCCTTGCCCTGCCTTTGCCCAAGCTACTAACCCTGGGCCTGGCTCTCCTAAGGCCATATATGCTCTTCATTCCCTATAGCCCTGCCAGTCTTCCTACTGCTACTGTCAGGAGGTGCTGGACCGCCTCATCCAGTGTGGGCTCCTGGTTGCTGAGGAGGTAGGCAGGACAGTTGGAGAAAAACCTCTTGCCTGGGTCCTGGCCTCCTTCAGTCTCCCACCCTGAGCGAGTTGCCCAGGTCCCTGTACTGGGTATGTGCTGTAGGTGGGTTGCCACTGGCCCATAGAAGCCTGACTCCACATCTTCCCTGGGCTTATGTATGTCTTCCTACTCTACCCCACCTCTGCATTTCTTATCCACAGTGCTGTGGCTTTTTAGGATGTTTCCTCTCAACCCTAAGTGCCTGCCACTGCTCCAGGCCTCCTTTTGAGCTTCCTAGATCTACTTTTTACTGATTTCACCTGCATGGATCAGGTCTGGGGACTGGAGGGCTGATCCCTGCCCAGCCTGTCAGGGACCAATGGCTCTCATGGTCTCCAGACCCCAGGTTCCCGGCCAGCCTGTGACACAGGGAGACGACGTTTGAGTGCAAAGCTGTTGTGGAAACCAAGTGGGGACTTTACTGACAGTGACAGTGATGACTTCAAGGAGGCTGAGGGCCGGTACTTCAGGGTGTGTTGGGAGAAGCCACTGTGGGAGGAAGGTGATAGGAAGGTAGTGATGAGCTGCTCTCACACTGGCCTGCCCCTCTCCAGCTCAGACAGCAGTCTCGCTGCCCTGACTTCTTCCTCTTCCTCTGCCGCCTCCTCAACCCACTGCTTAAGGTCTTTGCTCAGGCTGCTACCTTCCTCCATCTGGGAAAGCTACCTGATACAGGTGAGGCTTCCTTCCCCCTTGCCGTGCTCAGGGAAGGGCTCTACCTTGTGCGACTGGGTCTAGGTCTTCCTCTTTTGCAGAGTCTGGCTACATGGAGCAGCTATTGCAATTCTTACAGAACTCGGCCCAGGAAGAAGGGATCTTTGGTGAGGCTCCTGGAGGTAGGAGGGTTTGCTGCCCATTGCTGCCCTCTGCTGGCAGTGGCTGCCTTACTCTAGAGAGGAAAGCTCAAAGTACAGCTGGCCTCTGGTCCTATCTGAAAGAATCCTGTTCCTAGGAGTTCTTTAAACAAGGAAGAGAAAAGCTGTACCTATTGCTCTCAGGCCTCTCTCCCTAGAGCCTTTACTTTTCTTCCCTCCAGAGTGTGCCGACCCAAACTTGGCCATCAGTGCTATCTGGACCTTCAGAGACCTAGGGGTGAGATGAGATCCCCATCCTCTGTGTTCCCCTACTCTCGCCCCAGGTCCATCAGCTGGTAGAGCTGCTTTCCCCCAGCCCCATGGTGCTGGCCTTTAGGAGGGCTCATAAGACCCTGGGAAATATCCAGGCATAGATGTGGTAAACTGGATGGTTTTTCTACCCCTCTAAGTTTCTAAACCACTTGCTTGCTTTATCCTGGTGGGATACTAGGATTCCAGAGATATGTACCAGCATTGTACTTAAGACTTAGAGCCCCGAGGGATTAGAGATCTAGGGGACAAGTTTGGTCCTGTGGCAAAAGTCCCCAGGGTGAGGGGCTCACAGTTCATTTCATGACCCAGGTGCTGCAGCAGATGCCCAGCCCTGAAGGCCCCCAGCTCTACCTGTCGCCTACATTTGCCAGCCAGGATAATCAGGGCAAGCTGGAACAATTCATCCGACAGTTCATCTGCAGCTAGGTCCAGAATCAGCTGGACTTAAGAGTCTTGCTTTCTCCATCCTTCAGGTGATAAAGAGTTCTCTTTCTCCAAGCTCTGCAGTGGTTTCTTGGTGTATGTATGTCTACGTATCTGCTCCCTCCTTCCCCACCCCTATGAAAATGTTCCATGTCCCCTCTCACTCCCTGAAGCATGCCCTAAAAGAAGATAGGAGCAGAAGCCAAACTGCTGCTTTGGCTTTGCAAATTTATTGGAAGCTCTACATTCTTTCCTACTACTGAAAACAGTGGCCACTGGGAGACAAGGTTGGCAGTAGGCTGGGTGAGTGTGGATGCTCCATCTTGCAAAACCATCACACCACCTTGTTGATGATGACACCCAGTTCTTCAATCTCACACTGAACTTCATCACCCTTCTGTAAAAGAGCAGGTCATAAGGGTCTCAGGCCTTGGCTCTGGCACATATACCTACACACATACATGCTACAAACAAGCTTTTCAGGCCTTCTTGGTCCTTATACTGCCTCTCTTTCCTCCATTAGCTAACCTACCTGGAGAAAGACAGGTGGCTTCCGAAACACACCAACACCTGGGGGGGTTCCAGTCAGGATGATGTCACCTGGGTAAAGAGTGACAAACCTAAAGCAAAATAAGGGGCTGGTGAGATGATGAGTGTATATCTTGCTCAGCCTCCAGGTGTATGTATGGGGTGGGCCACTAACTGGGAGATCCAGGCTATCAGCTCTTCAATCTTGAATACCATCTGGTTGGTGTTGCTGCTCTGGACCACTTCCCCATTCACTCGGCAGCAGATCTTTAAATTGTGTGGATCTGGAATGCAAATATTATGGGTTATCCCTTTTCTGCCATAAACCCCTCTCCCACATCTAGAAAGATGAAACTGCAGTTGTGTGGGGGGTGTACTTCATGATATGCCAGATGAAGAAGCTCTGTGCCCTCATGGGCTTGACACTTTGCTTTGGGACTTCCTATTATAGAAATCGGCTCCCAGAATCCCCACTATCCCTAGAGTACCAGATAGTAGCCACCCAGGTGAGTGATGGACATTTCAGACTCTGAAGTGAGGGAGAGAAAAATAAGGCAGGTTTTGCCTTGAAAATATAGACCTAGCTGGACATGGTGGCTTATGCCTATAATTCTAGCTGGGATGCTAAGACAGTGAGGATTGTGAGTGCTGTTCTTTGTAATAATTCACTTTATGAAGGCAGTTTCAAAACCACTGCAGCTGTGTTCCCTTTAGGGTTTGGAGAAGCATCCCACAGGGGGATTCAAGCCTGAGCCTGGACCCACAGTGACAGAGCAGCTGGGGAGGGGAAGGTGTCTACCTGTAGCTATACCAGCATTCCTACTCCTTGGAGCAGCACTTTTTCTTAATACTGAGGTATTGTCTAAGAGGAAGAAATGGCAAAGGACCTACCTGCTACACTGTCCCTGGTAACTAAGGCTGGGCCCAGGGGGCAGAATGTATCAAAAGTTTTTCCCAGCAGCCACTGCTTCCCATTGCGTCGCATTTGCCAGTCCCGGGCACTCACATCATGAGCCACAGTGAAGCCAGCCACGTGAGCCATGGCGTCTGTGGCCTATGGGGGCAGGAGATTTGGCCAGAGAGGTTACATCACAGGTGGCATCAACCCCTAGAACAAAGGATCTTGAAGCCATTATCCCACATTAGTTGCCAGAGCTAGCCAAAGGTGGGTAAGAGGCAGGGCAGCAGTGGGGTAGGTGGGTGCTGACTATGTCCCAGTGTCACTGTTGGGGAGGTCTGAACATCAGCAGAGGCAGGAGCTGGTGTTGACCACACTCTGTTCCTGGCTCTCTAACACTCTGTTCCACTCTCTAACCTGGCTACCCCATTTCACCTCACCTTGATGTGCTTGCCTTTATTTCCAATGACCACAGCCAACTCAACCTCCCAGTCCACCTCCTGTAAAGTGGAAGAGAAATAGTAAGCTTCAGTGGTCCGGGAACATGTCCTGAGCAGCAAGGATGCACATCGTTGTCAGGGCCTATCTTCCAACAGTGGGCCTCAGTTGTCTGAACAGGAACCAAGTGAATCACAGAAGATTGACTTTTGTGATTTATAGACCCATAAGCTCTGGGCAGTAGCAGATAGCAATACTGGATGCAGATACACCTCCCCATTGTGACTAGAAGAAGAACAACTCCTGCCTAGGAAATTGAGTTTAAAGTCCCTCTTGATGCCCTCAATGTCAAGTAACCACAGCTAGCAAAATGTAACCTTAATGTGTGCCAGGCACAATTAGTATGCTATAATATATTAATTCTAATGATAAGATCTGCAATACAGAATTCTTATGAAAAGGGCTTAAGCAATTCACAAAAGAAGAGGGAAATAAGCAGTTCACAAAAAACAGGAAACAGACATGGTTATGAAACATGAACAAATGTTTAGTTTTTCCCCAGATCAGCAAAATGTATAAAAAATAGATACAGGTTAGCCTTTCTAACTAGCTGCTGTTATACTGGAATGGACTACAGCTGGTTTAAGTATACCTGACATCTGGGTGCCCACCTCTAGTACCAAGTCTCATTAAAAGGACTTGGGAAAATGGCCGATTTCAGGTTCAAGGCAGCACAGAAGAGTCTGCAATAAGGAGAAAAAGCAAGGAAGCATTGACAAAGGGGGCTAAGAACCTCCAGCAGGAGGCCCCAGTGGCCAAACAAGTGATCAAAAAATTACGGATTAGAACCAAGTGAATAGAAATAAGAAGTCAAAAGGATATTAAGGATATGGGCAATGTTTCTTTAGAAGATGGCAGTTGACAACCCTAAAGCAATAATGGATTCAGGCATGACTATTAAGATGACTTGAATTCTAATGACCATAGCATCCCTAGATAAAAAGCAAGATGGTAACCAATCTCAAACTATCACCCACAGAACACCACTTAATTACAAGGAAAACACATTTTCCAGTTGAGAGATCTGACCACTAAGCAAAACAGGTGGTTGCATTTTAGGGCCATTTAACATGAGCTGCCCAATGGGATGCAGTGAGACATAAGCAATACTTTCTGGGTAGAACTCCTAGCAAAATGCTTACTCTGTTTTCATCATGAGGAAACAAGACAAAACTAGAATGAAGGATGTAGCATGAGAAAACTTGATTGGATTCTTCAAAGAGTCATGAAAGAACTATCGCCACCATATGTGGCCTGTTTTTGTCAGTAAGTTTTACTGAAACCCCATGGTCACTCATTTAAGTATCATCATTGGAAGCTTTCATACAAATAGCAGCTATTTGTCATATGGAGACCATATGACATCTCAAGTCTAATACTGTCCCTTTAAGAAAAAATGACTAGGGGCTGGGAAGGTGGCTCAGTGGTAGAGCGCTTGCCTTGCAATGCATGAGGCCCTGGGTTCGATTCCTCAGCACCACATAAGCAAAAAAAAAAAAAAAAAAGAAAGAAAAAAGCAGGAAGTGGCACTAAAAAAAAAAAAAAAGAAAAAGAAAAAATGACTAAAGAGAGATTCCAAAAAAAGAGATACCATGTGTGGTTTGACAGAATCTGAATCAACAAACAGAAACCAAATTAAACTTATCTTTGGGGTAACTGGGTATATTTCTGACTGGGACAATTGGTCTATGTATTAAGTACTATTCATGTTAATTTTTTTGGGGGGGGCGGTCAGGTCGTGGGGCCTGAACTCTGGGCCTGGGCGCTGTCCCTCAGCTCTTCAGCTCAAGGCTAGCACTCTACCACTTGAGCCATAGCGCCACTTCCGGCTTTTTTCTTTTTGCTTATGTGGTGCTGGGGAATCGAACCCAGGGCCTCAGTCATGCAAGGTAAGCGCTCTACCACTGAGCCACCTTCCCAGCCCCTCATGTTAATTTTCTTAGCTGTAATAATGGTATTATCATCACAAAGGCCATTGTCATTATTCTTAGGATATGCATGCTTAAATTTTTATGAGTGAATTGTGTGCAACTTACTTTCAAAGGTCCTCCCCACAAAAATTGTGGTCATGTGGGAAAAGAAAGCAAAAATGCAGTGTCAACAATGAAGCCAAGTGAAGAAGTATATGAGTGTTTATTGTCTTTTTCAACTTTATAGAACATTTCTAAATTAAAGATTCAAAGGAAAAATGAATCAAGATTTCTGTGTGTGTGTGTGTGTGTGTGTGTGTGTGTGTGTGCAGTCTTGGGGCTCAAACTCAGGACCTGGGCATTGTCCCTGAGTTTCTTTTGCTCAAGGCTAGTGCTCTACCACTTGAGCTGCAGCTCCAGCTTTTCCTGCCTGGGCTGGCTTTGAACTGCAATCCTCAGATCTCAGACTGCTGAGTAGCTTGGGTTAAGATGCGAGACACTGGCACCTAGCTAAATCTAAACAGTTTTAATAAGAGTACAGAGAGGGTTGGTAGATGTGTAAGATGCTTTTATAATTCTTTCGGCGATCAATTTGGCAGAATTGCTCAAAAGTTTTGAACATTGCCTATGGTTTTACGTAGACATTCTAGTAAGAATTCATTAAAAGGCAATGGCGAGAATGCAGGCAAGAATTCATTGTATAAAGCACAGAATTGAGACAAGTAAAGGGAAGAGGTGGGTCAAATAGGATGTTAAAGGGATGACACAAATCAAGATGCATTGTATACATACAGGATGCTTTGTTAAATGAAAAGAATTCAATACATAACTTAAAAATTAGTAAAAGTGAGGGAAGGGGTGGGTAGGGAGGGTGGATGAGAATGTTGAAAGGGGGGACATTGATCCAGATGCACTGTATCCATAAACTGCTTTGTTGAATGACAATTGTTTTGTACAACTACTTAAATAATTTTTTTTTTAAAAAAGCAATAACTATGTATTGCTGGCCACACAGTCTTTTCTATGTAAAGATATTCTCAGCAGCACTATAAAAGCACAAAGCTGGAATAAGTATAGTTGTTGGGAACTAGTGAGGAGATTATGATCATGGTACAACAGAAAGCCATGGGGCAACCTAAAATGTGTCAGGAAGAGTATTTCATGGTATGAAGAAATGTTCTTGGTGGAGGGTGAGGTAGAAAGGTTGGTAGGAGTACAGACCTTACTCTCTGGCGGGAGGACAATCTCATCGTAGGGTCCCACGATGGAGCTCCCAAACTTGCTGAAAATGATGGGCTCTTTGGGCACAGACACATTCTGTTCTTTGCAGTGGTCTGCATAATTCAAGCCCACACACACCACCTTGTCTGGCCTCGTGATTGGAGCCAGGAGGGTCACCTCTGACCTTGGGAGGACTGGCAACTGGGCAGTCAGGGCACTGCAGAAACCAAGAGGGAGAGAGGCTGGTTAGGAACAGGTGAGCAACCTGGAGGCAGGCTAGGGAGAACCTACAGCAGCTACGAGTTGTTTTTTTTTTCAACCATCAGTCAGTGCAAAAAATAAGCCTAGCTACTGTCTCTGATGTCAATCAAAGCTTTACTGAATATCTCTTAAAGGCTGCTCTGAAACATGCTTCTTTCCCCACCTTTCTGTATGCAAAAAGCCAAAAAATAGCATTTTGATGATCTCTCCATAACAATAAAGAATTTTTTATTCTTCTCATGGCTGGATATTACTACATTGTATAGTTAAATTCAGTTACCCAATGAGGAGCATGGAAGTTGTTTCTAGCCTTTCAAAAGTATAATAGTAGAGGAACATGGTGCTGTTAAACATTTCTATTTTTGCCAATCTAGAATCAACTTTCAAAAAATTACTATTATTAAGGTGTTGTGTAGATGAGTTACTGTTTTATAAGTCAGGTAGTGAGTACATTTTGTTTTGGACAAGATCACCCCTTCCTTTGCTTTTCCCAGTTAAAATAAACTTCTTAAAGTGGTTTTAATTTACTATTCAACTTTTTACACCAGGCTTCAGAAATCCTAGATTAAGTAGACTTAATTTAGCCCAAACTCTGAAACCAATCATCTTGGAGAAAATTTTGTAGCCTACCTCCTCCTCTTTGAGCCAGGAGTCTAAATCACTCTTTAATCTTCCCAAGATTCTTTCTTAGGACCAATGGTCCCAGACCTCTCAGGCAGACAGGAACTTAATCTCCAGAGAGTGTGACAAAGTCTTGGCTCTACCAGGTAAAGTGTGGCCTTGGGACAGTTAATTAGCTTCCCAGGGCCTCAGTTTCCTTTTTTGTAAATTTAAGATGTTGCTACATTCTAAGAAGGAAGGAAAGGTTCTGCAGCTCCTGTAAAAAGAGCTACCTGCTGGTTCTAATTCCCAGGAGAAGGTAGGTATGGGAGGACAGAAAAGGAGACCAGGGCAGTAGCTGCAGGGGTTGCTGCCTGCTGACTTACCTTCTTGCCACTGACAGGGCAGGCTCTCCCTGCTCCAAGAAGTGCATCATTGTCTTGGGGAGCGTGGGGTCAAAGGCATTGAGGTTTATGACTCCCTCACCATTCTCTGACTCTAGGCCCACGTGAGGTCCTGTCAGGTGGGGTGCCAGAAATTGCACCAGTCTCATATCTCTGGAGGGTTGAAAGGGCCCCTTCTGAGCCTGCAACAGAGCAGTGAGCAACTTCTTTCTACCTGAGGCCAGCATCAGGGCCTAGGGATGAACAAAAAAGCAGGACCTGGGGACAGAAGATCAGAACCATCATCAGGATCCCTGAAGTCCTTTGGGCTTCAGTCAGTGTCCCTTTGCTTCACCAACTATTCCTAGCAAACCACAAAGGAAGTGGTTTATATGGGGCATTTCACCCTTTTACACTTTATGACTACTTTATGCCAGGCACTAAGCTAGGCCCAGGGATTCCAGCTTTTCTTTAGTCAGAATTTTCTGAAAGTTTTTAAGTGTCCGGCACTGCTGTAGGTGCTGGAGAAACAGTGTAGGCCAAATTCAGTTTTGCCATCTTGCATGCAGGAGACAGAAAACTGACAGGTGATTCAGCCCCTGCCACTACTGCTGTGAATCATGGTTCTTCCTCTGTCTAGCTCCCCGAGAAAGTACTCTGGGCTGAGCCAGATGAAAATGAGCAGGATGAAGAATTAGCCACATGTTGGGCAAATGTCCTCTGTTGAAACTGGCTTCATGCAGTTTTTAAAATGCTAACTTGATCCTACTATCTGCACCCTAACTTAAATGTTTTCCATTACTCACATGCTCAAGCCAGAACCTCTATCAGACTTCCCTGTACTTCTAGAGGATCTATAGCACTGGCACTATGGCTATGGCACACAGGGCTCTCAATGAACAAATGAGAGAAGCAAGAGTTTGAATCTTTTTTTTTTTTTCATGGGAGAGCTTGGTGATTGTCAAACTTTGGGGCAAATGACTGGTCTTCCTTCCACAGATTATTGAGAAAGTAACAGAATTTAGGCTATGTTTTGAGATTCTGACTCCACTTAAAAAAAACAAACCCCATCCTGATGTTTTTGTTTGTTTTGTGGTGCTGAGGATTAAACTCAAGGCTTTGTGCAAGCTAGGCAATCACTCTAGCACTAAGCTACATCTCTGCCTAGCTTCTCATTTTGTTCTTGAAGTCTAGTCTTCACTCCTTCCCACACAGTCCTTCCCTGCAGAGTGCCTTGCTTTTACAAATAGCCCTATGAAAAAAAAAAAACAACCACCACCACCAACAAACCCCAAAACTAACAAAAATGTGGCAAAAGCTCTGTAAGCCCCAGATACTAGCTTTGTGTTCAAGCCATATGGCAGCATAAAAAAAAAAAGGAAAAAAAAAAATCTGCTCCAACGTGTGCATACACTCAGGTAAGTAACTGCTCCTACTGAAAGCTAGGTATCATGTTAAGTGTTCTACACATAATGTCTGACTCCATAACTGAGGTTACACAGGTAGGAGAAATCCTCCAGAGACCCTGACTGGTTGTGCTTGTGGGAGCCTCAGAGATAGGGCTGAACATCTGCTCTCTTAGATAACCCCAGACCCCCGTGACAGGCACATGCAGATTCATGCCACAACAGTCTCGTCAGGTAGGGTGCCCCAATACACAGAGAGAAGCACTGAAGATTCATCCACAGGGCGAAGTCACCTGCTGCGGGCTTCAGTTCCAGCTTCTCGAAGAGGCGCGCGGCGAGTGTGCGCGTCACGATGACGCCACCAGACCACAGCTTCCACAATAACTACCGGGCCACCTAATCCAGGGTCACGCCAACTCTGCAAAAGGGTCACGACCGGCAGTGAAAACCGCACCAGCCCCGCACCTGAGACGCGCGCGGGTTGGCCCGTGCCGCCGCCCAGTCTCGGCGTCCACTCTCCTAGAAGCTGCGTGCGTGCCTCGGTTTCCAGCCGCCCCTGAGCCAGTGGCCTCTCTCCAGGGTCCGCCCCGCGTCACCAGGGTCAAGCGACGCCCCCTGCAGAAGCCCCGATCCCAGGCTGGCCCAGACCCAACCTACCTGGCTGTGACGGCCGAACCTGCCTGGCACTCTGCGGAGAAGGGTTAGGACCCGCGGAGCTGCCGGTCAAAGGTGGCGGAGGCCAGAGCACTGGAGATAACCAGCGCCACCGGCCCGGGACACCTCAGCCAGCGCGGGATTCAGTTCCAGCTTCTCTACGAGGGGCACGGCGAGTGGGCGCGTCGCGATGGCGTCACCAGACCACAGCCAATAGAGGGGCTCCTGGTTCTCCGCCCCCGACACCGAAGTCCAATCGCGCACGCGCGGGCTCTTGTAGACTGACATAGGCTGACTTTGTCTTTGTTGCCTTCCAACCTGCCACTGGGTCATGCGTGTTGTGGAGCGCATTCAGAAACAGTCACACCCCGGGACATCCTAGGCGGACACCCCTTCCAGGTCCTGCTGCGGGGCTGCGTGGCGCCGCGTCTGAGAATTGGATCAAAAGTGGTAGTGACCAAGTCCTAGCGCACTGGTGGATAAAGACAGATATTTTGGTTTTCTCGCGCTGACACACGGAGAAGAGGGTTGGTTGTAGTACTTTTGCTCATGGGAAGCTTGAGGCCAGAAGTGTTTTGCCCCAGGTGACAATAGCATTAGGATACTTGATCCTCAAGTCCAACCATAGCAGCAGCCCTGGTTTCACATACCCTGCTTTGTTGTTCAGGGTGGGTAATGGGGAAATGAGGAATAACCTCCAGTGCCTCTGCACTATCGGCATTCTAGTGGAGCTGTAATTTCATCTAAAACTTAAATCCAAAGCTGGGTGCTGGTGGATCACACTTGTAATACACCTACCTGATCAGGAGGCTGAGATCTGAAGATAGTGGTTCAAAGCCAGCCCAGGCCAGGCAGGAAAGTCTCCAAATAACCACCAGAAAACAGGTAGGGGCACTGTGGCTGTGGCTCAAAGTGGTAGAAGGGACAAAGCCCTGGTCCTGCGTTAACGCCCTGCATGACTGATGACAACAACAAACAAAAACCAAACACCTTAAATCCCAACTTTGCAGGCTTCTGGCATATGAAGACATATGGAGCCCTAGACAAGGCCCCCCCCTCCTCCCCCCCCCCCCCCAAAATTAATCAAGGACCAGATAGATCACCAGAGGCATTACTTGTCCCATATGGAAGTCTGGGCCTTATCTAAATGCATGGGAGACACTGGAAGGTCCTCACCAGAGGAGCAAAGCTAGGCTTGCATTTGAGAACTTGGACTGTCGCAATTCCCCCCAGGAAAAGGGTCTGCGGAAGAGTGGGGTGGATGAGAGCAATAGGGATTTGGTGTGGGTCCAGTGATGTTTTTTGGGGGTCCGGTCGTGGGCCTGAACTCTGGGCCTGGGTGCTGTCTCTTAGTTCTTCAGCTCAAGGCTAGTGCTCTACCACTTGAGCCACAATGCCACTTCCGGCTTTTTTTTTCTGCTTATATGGTGCTGAGGAATCAAACCCAGGGCCTCATGCATGCAAGGCAAGCGCTCTACCACTGAGCCACCTTCCCAGCCCCTGGGTCCAGTGATGTTTAAGAGGAAGAATTGATGATTGGTGAAAGTGAGAGAGAAGGAGGCACAAGGTCAATTCCTATACTAGCTAGAGGATATCTGTGCCATTCAGGAGGGGCAGCAGGCCTGTGGAGAGGGTGGTGAACTCAGAGTTGGATAGACTGCACGAAATGAGCCTTTGGGACACAAAGGGCACTGGCAGGTGGTTGATAGAGTCAGGGGTCAGGAGCTTGAGATTCCAATCTGACTTCAAGAAGTCAGCATAGAGATCTAAATGGAACTTAGGAGGTTGGCTTAGACCACTTGTGAGAGAGAATCTCAAACCTTTTACCAAGTCATAGGTCCTAAAGGTGTTGTGAAAATACAAACTTCAGCCTGGAAAGAAATGATTTGCCAAGCATATATTGGATAAAAGACTTGAATCCAGAATACATAAAGAACTCTTGGAAGCCAATAGATAAAATCAATCCATCCAAGTGAATAGATTGTTGGACAAAAGATTTGAACAGCTACTTTACCAAATAAGACACAGAAAATATGGTCAACAACATTGTCATGGAAATGAAAATTAAAACCATAGTGTGACATTACTGAACACCTACTAGAATGGCCAAAAGTGACTGATTTTGTCAAGTGTTGGCAAGGATGCAGAGGGACTGTCAGTCTCATAAATTGCTAATGTGTTTATAAAATAGTACAATCACTTTTAAAACCATTAGTTTGAGGGTATAGATAGGATTGGGAATGGGGGGGGGGAATAATGGAAGGAGTGCCATTGATCAAGATGCACTGTACTCATAATCTGTCTTGTTGAGGGCTGGGAAGGTGGCTCAGTGGTAAAGCGCTTCCCTTGCATGCATGAGGCCCTGGGTTCGATTCCCCAGCACCATGTAACAAAAAGAAAAAAGCTGGAAGTGGCTCTGTGGCTCAAGTTGTAGAGCGCTAGACTTGAGCTGAAGAGCTGAGGGACAGCACCCAGGCCCTGAGTTCAGGCCCCACTACTGGAGTTCAGACCCCACTACTGGAGCCCCCCCCAAAAAATCTGTCTTATTGAATTGAAATCCCTTTGTACAACTCCTTAAAGCTAATATAAAAAAATTAAAACCATTCTCCAGGCCTTGTTGTTGTTTTTTTTTTGAGACAGAATCTTATTATGTAGATTCTCAACTTGGGCTCTTCTTGCCTCTACCTCCTGTGTGTTAGACTTCAATCATGTGCTATCACAGCAATGGCTAGGTTTGTTTTTCTTTACTTTTCTTCTTTCTTTCTTTTTTTGCTGGTCCTGGTCCTCAGATCATAGCCTCCTGAGTAGCTAGGATTACAGGTGTGAGCTACCAGTGCCCGGCTAGTTGTTGTTTTTTTAAATGTTAAATTGAGCTGGGCACAGTGATTCACCTGCAATCTAAGCTATTTAAGAGGTGGAGATCAAGAGGATCTCGGTTCAAAGCCAGCCTGGACAAAAAAAAGTAGCAAGAGCACATCTCAACAAACAAGCCAAATATAGTAGTAAATCATGTCTGTAAAGAAGTCCAGCTACATGGAAGTATGAGCAAAAAAGTACAAATCCCTATCTGAAAAATAGCTAAAACAGAAAGAGATATAACTATAGATCAAGTGTTAGAGCCCTTACCTAGTGAATTCAAGGCCCTGAGTTCAAACCTCAGTGTCACCCAAATAAATAATAAAAAGTAAAAGTAGCCAGGTGCTGGTGGCTCACGCCTGTAATCCTAGCTACTGAGGAGGTTGAGATTTGAGGATCATGGTTCAAAGCAAGCCTGGGCAGAAACACCCTATGAGACTCTTATCTCCAATAAACTACCCAGAAAAGCTGGAAATGGCACTGTGGCTCAAGTGGTAGAGCACTAGCCTTGAGCATAAAGAGGCTCATGGACAGTGCCTACCCCCTGAGTTCAAGCCCCAGGACTGGCAAAATAAAGTAAAAATGAGCAAGGTTAAACGTACATCTACAATATGATTTAATCATAGCTTTCCTGGTTATTGGCAATATTGAAGTTTACTTTAACTCTGCTTCTAGAAAGAGTGAAGGTTAATAAATCCTCCATTGGTCATGCTTCAGGAAACACTTCTAAGAAAGAACCCCCTCTTTCTGAGGGCCATAAGACTTGTATAAATTTACCCCTGTTCCCTTAGTTACCCAAGACAAGGCCTAAGGAAATTTCCATCCTGTGCTTCATAAGTAATTGTAGACTTGCTTATTTCCCATGGAACCATCAGGACAAGCTGTCTGCTAAATCTTGGTTCAGATTCTCATTCCTCCAGGCCTCCTCCTTTGGCTCTGGCTCGGCTTCAGTCTGTGCCAGCACAGTCCTAATAAGGGAAGCTCCTTTTCCTTGTGCACATCTTTATCGGTATCCTCTGAAATAATTTTTATAATAAGCCATAAAATAGTAAGTGTTTCTCTGAATTCTGTGAGCCACAAGTAAAACTAATGCAACCCGAGGAGATGTAGGAGGTATGGGAATCTCCATGTTTAGTTGATTAGTCACAAGCATGAGTAAAAATCATCTGGGGCTTGTGATTAGAGTCAGAAGTTAGGACTACTACCTTGGGGACTGAGCCCTCATCTGTGGGTTTTGATGCTATCTTCAGGCTGATAGTGTCAGAACTGAAATGTCACGCCCTATTGCTGTCCTCTGCTGCAGAATTGTTTGCTTGTTTGATGTGGGAAGATACCCCCACACATCTGATGTCAGAAGTAATCTGTGTTAAGAGCATGTCATTGGAGAAACGAAGTCAAGAGTTGCTTCTTCCATGATATCCTCAGTCATCCTGAATATTCTGTTGCCTAAAATACAAAGTTAACTCTTAACAACTTGCACATAAAATGAGAATGGAAAAGCGAAGGAAGAAACATAGCTAAATAAACATGCATGTGAAACAATCAAATTGAAAATGTGCAGTTACAGCGGCCCTCATTTCTATAATTAAACATGAGTCTATCATTGATGCTAATGACTTCCTTATACATTTTATATTTCCCCTGTCATCTAGGAGAACACCAACTGCTTGGAATTCTTACCTAAAGGAGTGACAAAAACTTTCGTTTCTCATAGGTTAAGTGGTCAATCATCTTGCCTTTTTTTGGGTAGCTGTAGCTTTTCATTAGCCTTTACTATTACTATTGGGCACCTCCTTAGGTACCAAAGAATGGAAGGTCTTAAGTTCCAGACATCATTCTTTTTTATTTATTTTATTTATTTATTTTTTTGGTCCGGTCATGGAGCCTGAACTCTGGGCCTGGGCGCAGGCTAGCACTCTATCACTTGAGCCACAGTGACACTTCCGGCTTTTTTCTTATGTGGTGCTGAGGAATCGAACCCAGGGCCTCAGGCATGCAAGGCAAGCACTCTACCACTGAGCCACCTTCCCAGCCCATCATTCTTCTTTAAAAAATAAATGGGGTTTGAACACAGGACCTTGTGCTTGCTAGGCAGGTGTGTACCGTTTGAGCCATTATTCTATCTCTTTTTGCTCTGGCTATTTTGGGATAGGGTCTCACTTTTTGCTTAGAGCCAGTCTACCCCATAACCCTCCTAAGTATTTTCCTGATATAGCTGAAACAACAGATGTGAATCACCATTCCAGCTTTTTTTTGTTGTTGTTGAGATAGGGTCTTGGTTAATGTAGGATCT